AGAGGAGCTGAGCTGGAGGGATGGCTCAGAGACACTTCCAGCGAAAACAGTGGGGAGGTTTCAGGACCTCCTGTAAGAACACCCACTCCTCGCCGGAAACTGTCACGCAGAGATTCCAGAAGACGTGTTTCCGTTAAGGAGCTTTTATGTTGGAAGCGATTACGGAAGCAACCACTGTCGGAATCTGCTAGTGACTAGAGTAGCCATGTCTGAGGGGCTCCGTCACAGACAGAGGTTTGTGGACTTGAACAAACTCTGAGGGGATACGATTTTACGCACAAGCAGCTCATCATCCCATCACACTAATCATTTAAACTTTATGGACATCCATGTTCATCAGGTCATTTATAACCAGAATACCAAGTCATTATTTATGTACTACCTGATACAAAGAGGCTTACTGTTAATTAATTCAACACTGAAAACTACGTTATTAAAGAAATCAAAATCAGCATCAATAACCATGGGGAGCACTGCAGTGGGAGACTTCAGCATCTAAGCCACAATGTGTCTGTATGTTTGTAGCAATACATTCCACAAATTCTTTTTTTAGTATGCCTTATTTGCAGTTTGCATTTTTTCTTTTCTTTTTTGCCAAAGTTTGGGTCCCTTCAATGGTCCTGTTCTCCCTTCTTACAGTTCTTTAATCTTTAAACTGCACTTGGAGAGGATAGCCCTTAAAACAAACAACTCCTTCAGACAGAGAACTGTGTTTTGTATACAAAATAGATGGCTACCCTGAGCAGATATTTTTCTTACTTAATTTGCAAAAGAAGCCCTAACGTTTGCATTTTAAAACATATTAATGTATCAGCAACACCATGACTTTTACTCCTTAATCATCACCTTTCACATTAAAGACAGACTGGGTATTATAATAGCAAGTAGCCTTGAAGAGGCTGATAATTATTAAAGTAGTGTTTGTGGAAGATATGGCTAGTGATCAGTGTGCAAAGACTGTAGAGTTTGAATGCAATTTCCAAATTTTTGCTCAGCAGTAGCTCTACATTAGCCAAAGCTACCTCACATGAAAGTGAAAGTACAGAAGAATTGCAAATATGTTGTATGCACCCCCCCAATACACATTCTGCAGTATATAACAGCAACCATGCAATATTTCACTTTGACCAGGAGAGGGAGGCAGAGAATTGAAATTAGAAAGGCACATTATTCTTACAGTAGCATGCCATCAGACAACACCACAATGGAAACCACTAAAACTAACAGGGGGAGGGAAGGGGAGCACGGCACACAGGGTAGTGCAGCACTATCAAAAGTTTAAAAGGCATATTATTGCAAGAGCTTTTCATAAGGAAGGTTGGTTTCAACATACTGGGTGAGATCGCATTGTCATAAATACTGAAAGAGAAGGGAGTCCAAGACGGATGAGAATTTCTTAAAGGTGAAATTTGAAAGCACAAATGCAAAAAAAATCAAAGAAAAATGGGAAGCATCTAAAGAAATCATATACTGCATGGCGGCATATACTTACAGATGAACTGAGATTTAAGAAGGGCATGTATAAGAAATGGAAGAATGGGAAAATCAAGAAGGAAGGGTATACACAACTAGCCAACAGTTGCAGGAGGAAGATCAGGAGAGCCAAAGGTCAGAATGAGTTCAGTCTACCAAGAGAGGCCAAAAATAATTTAAAAGTTTTCTTCAGCTATGTTCAAGGCAAGAGGAAGAACAAGCGAGTAGTAGGTCCTCTGCGTGGAGATACATAATGTAGCAGCAAAAGAAGCTAATGCTATTCTAGGCTGCATCAACCAAGATGATCAAGGGTTTGGAAACCAAGCCTTATGAGGAACGGTTGAAGGAGCTGGGTATGTTTAGCCTGGTAAAGAGGAGACTGAAAGAAGATGTGTTAGCCATCTTCAAATATCTAAAGGGCTGTCACATGGAAGATAGAGAAAGCTTGTTTTCTCCTGCTCTGGATGCTGGGAATTGAACCAATGGAATCAAGTAGATTCTGGCTAAACATCAGGACAGTAAGAGCTGTTCGACAGTGGAACGGACTCCCACAGGAGGTTTTGAAACAGAGGTTGGATGGTCATCTGTCATGCATGCTTTAGCTGAAATTCCTGCATTGTAGGCGGCTGGACTAGATGCCCTTGGTGTCCCTTCCAACTCTACAATTCTATGGTTCTATAAGAACCTATTTGTTTCAAAACTACAGATTATCAGCAACTCTCTCAGTTAGTAATCTTCCCACAATTTTCTTCAATTAGGAGAACAGAGCAAAGCAAGATAGTTTAAAGTGGGAATGGAAATTTAGATTATTTATTTAAAATAAATGTGCAGTTGCAACCTTCAAGAAGCGAGCCAAGTTCAGACAGCCATATGTGGATTCACAGAGTATCTTCAATTAAATCCTGTGACAATTAATCGTTTACATGACACTACTTCAAATATACAGCAGTTTCTTTGGGTAAAGGTGGTTCCCCAATTTCTGCAATATTTCACACTGCTTTAGACCCAGCGAGAAAGGCAGTAATGTCTTGAACATGGCTGGGAATAGCAGTAATGAGAGAACAATATGAAAAGAAAAACTGTAATTTAGTGCTTGTAGAGGTTCTTTAAGAAACTGACCAATAGGTTTTTTTCTCCTCAAAAGATAGTTCTGAACAGGACCACAAGAAAATAAACAAACCTTATAAGAAATAGCAATGTGCCCCATGCTGCTTCCATTACTAATGTCTTCTACCTCTGGAAGAAGCTTTCTCCAATGTTTGAAAGTTCTCCCAGTAAGTTTACTGTAATCCCTTTACTCTATGCCTTTTGCTGTCAATTAAAAACCTGTTTCCTCAGACATTTACTGTACTGGGTTACTTTAGTGCTAATTGGTTGAGATTTGAAAGTTATTTATTGTCAATGTAATTTTTATTGTGATTTTTAAGGTGTTGTTTTAGAAAATTTATACACAGAACATATGAGTATTGTTGCAATAATTACAGCAAATTATCACTCTGTTTTCTATTTACCAATGGCATAACAGAGGCCATAAACTAGATACTTAAGTGACAGTAAAGATCACAAAGAAATTGCATTCTTCAGATTAATTCTTGGCTTATATGAAAAGCTTAAAAAGGCAAAAGAGACAGATGTAACTACCAGCAGCATATATTATGTATGTTGACTCAGTATTTTGAGTGACA